GTGTGTGTGTGTGTGTGTGTGTGTGTGTGTGTGTGTGTGTGTGTGTGTGTGTGTGTGTGTGTGTGTGTGTGTGTGTGTGTGTGTGTGTTGCAGAGGGAGCTGCTGGAGATGAGAGCTCCGACTGCTGCTCAGAGGAAACCAAAGTTTGAAGGAGAACCCAAAAAACCCCCAGTGTGAGTCGACGACACACACACACACAGACACAAGTTATATGATTATTCTTCAATGTCTGAATCAATTATGATATGTTATGAAGGGCTGTGATTGGTTACAGCGTGTAGAGCAGCATCTAACCAGAGGACCATCAGACTGTTGACCACCTGAGCTCTGTGAAGAACATCCATCTGTTGCATCTTACTCGTCTATATATCATATGCCCTTTACTTGAAGATAGACTCTTCTTGCATTATGTATTTGTATTTACTTGCACATCTCAAAACATTCTCTTGCACTATTTGATCTGTTTTATTAGTTTGATCTGTTCTTTGTCCCATATATATTCATGTTGCTCTGCTGGAGGAGGACTCTCCACTGAAGCTGCTGAGCACATGGTGATAGAGACTTGAAACTTTCGACTCAGCAGTAAACCCCGCCCCCTCTCGTCCTCTCGTCCAATAGGAGTGGGTATCAGATGTTCTCCCAGGAGCTGCTGACCAATGGGGAGCTGAACCACTTCAGCCTGAAGGAGCGCATGGTGGAGATCGGGAAGAGGTGGCACAAACTGAGCCAGATCCAGAAGGACAAGTACAAGAAGCAGGTGGAGGAGCAGCAGGGGGTCTACAAGGTGCTGCTGGAGGCCTGGATACAGGTGAGGGGGTGGGGGCAGCAGGGGGGCTTCTGTCTCTGACGGAGGTGTGTGTTATAATAAAGATGGTGTGTCTCCTCAGGGTCTGTCTCCTCAGGACCGAGCCGTCTACACGCAGTTCACCTCCACCGTCAGTACCTCACCACACACTCATAACAACACATTCGGCTTGATGCAGCTATTAACCGTGTGTGTGTGCGTGTGTGTAGAAGCGGCGCAGCAGCACGAAGGCCCGCAGCCCCCCCCCCTCTAAGGTGTGTGTGACAGTGAAGAAGGCGGCGAGCAGCCGAGCGACAGCACAGACCCTCAGTGTGAATAAGAGGAGCATGGCCTACCGAGCCAAGGTACACACACACACACACACACACACACACACACACACACACACACACACACACACACACATTTATTTGATCAAGTGTTGAAAAAGTTGTTATATCAGTGTGTGTGTGTGTCTTGCAGCAGGA